AAACAAGTTATATGAATTGTTGAATGTGAAACTGATGATGTGCCCTGTAAACTTTCACTCAATCCACAATAAAAACCTTAAATTAAAAAAAAAGACACGGAACAAAGAAAAGACCACAGTGGATGTCAGAAGAGACTCTGAAACTTGGTAAGGTAAATGGAAGAAATGAGGAGGGAAAACCTGAACAGAAAAACTCAAAGGTCAGCTCAAGAAGACAAATTCAAGTATTGTAATGAAATGTGCAAAGATCTAGATTTAGAAAACCAAAAGGGAAGAACATACTCAGTATTACTCAAGCTGAGAGAACTGAAGAAAAAATTCAAGCCTTGACTTCAATATTGAAATACTTTATGGGCAAAATATTGCATGAAAGCATCAAAAGAATATGGGAGGTATACATAGAGTCACAGTACCAAAAAGAAGTAGTCTGTGTTCAACCGTTTCAAGAGGAAGCATGATCAAGAACCAGTAGTACTGAGGAAAGAATCTGCACTGAAGGCACTGGTGAAAAATGAGGCCCCAGGGATTGACAGAATACAAATGGAAATCTTTCAACAAACTGATGAAGTTCTGGAGGAGGTCACGCATATATGCCATGAAATTTGGAAGACAGCAACCTAGCCAACCGAATGGAAGGCATTCATATTTTTGCCCATTCCAAAGATAGGAGACCCAGTGGAAAGTAGGAATTATTGAACAATATGATTAATATCATTAGCAAGTAAAATTTTGTTGAAGATAATTCAAAAATGGCTGCAACAGCAAGCACGTCAACAGGGAACTGTCAGAAATTCAAGCCAGATTCCAAAGAGAACTTGGAACTAGGGATATCATGGCTGATGTCAGATGGTTCTTGGGTAAAAGCAGAGAAGACCAGAAATACGTTTACTTGTGCTTTAGTGACTATGCAAAGGCATTCGACTGTGTGGATCATGACAAGATATGGATAACATTGTGAAGAATGCATACTCTAGAACACTTAATTGTGCTCATGAGGAACCTGTACACTAGACCAAGAATGAGTTGTTCAAACATAACAAGGGTATACTGAATAGTTTAAAACCAGTAAGATATGGGCCAGGGTTGTATTCTTTCACCATATTTATTCTATCTGTGTGCTCATCAGATAATCCAAGAAGCTGGATTATATCAAGGAGAATTTAGCATCAGGATTTGAGGAAGACTCAGTAGCAACTTGAGTTATGCAAGTGATACAACCTTGCTTGCTGGAACAGAGGACTTAAAATACTTAACTGATGAAGTTCAAAGACTGCAGCCATCAATATGGATTGCAACTCAATGTAAAACACAAAAATCCTCACTACTGGACCAATAAATATCACCATGATAAATGAAGAAAATATTGACGTTGTCAAAGACTTCATTTTGCTTGGATCTACAACCAACACTCATGGGAAGCAGCACTCAAGAAATCAAATGACATATTACATTAGGCAAATCTGCTGCACAAGCCCTCTTTAAAGAGTTCAAGAGCAAAGGTGTCAGTTTGAGGACTAAGGTGTGCCTGACCCAAGCCATGGTATTTTCAATTGCCTCATATGCATGTGAAAATTGGACAATGAATAAGGAAGACCTAAGAAGAATTGATGTATTTGAGTTATGGTGTTGGAGGAGAATATTGAAAGTACCATGGACTGTCAGAAGAACAAGCAACTCTGATGGCAAAAGTACAACCAGAATGCTCCTTAGGAGCCAGGAAAGCATGACTTCATCTCTCACACATCAGCATGTTATCAGGAGGGACCAGTCTCTAGAGAAGGACATCATGCTCAGTAAAGTTGAGAGTTGGGGAAAAAGAGGAAGACTCCTAACCAGATGGATTGGCTTAGAGACAGTAGCAATGGGCTCAAGCATAACACTTATGAAGACAGCTTAGGACTTGGCAGTGTTTCATTTCATTATGCATAGACTCAAGGGTCCCTAACAATAACATATAGTTAGCCCTTTACATGTGCTAACTCAACCATCATAAAACCTCTCAGAGGTCTCAGGGAGGGTGGACAGAGACTCATGCACATGTAATATCAGGCTTTGGATGAGAGCAGTACTCACACAGAGGGCTTCGAAGAGATGAAAGATGATGTAAATCGGCAAGATCTGGTTCACCAGGGTGATGACTTCTCTGCAGAACAAGTGGGAAAGGACACTCACTTGGAGCACGAAGAAAAGTTTCATTACCTATTTCTGTCCCTTCTTACTCTCCTAGAAGTCCTGAATGGTGCAAGCTGTTCATGTGCTAGGTGCTAAACAAAGGGCTGCAGGTTCTAGTCCATCCAGAGGTACCTTGGAAGAAAGTCCTGGCGAAATACTTTTGGAAAATCAGCCATTGAAAACCCTATGGAGCAGAGTTCAACTCTGACCCACAGAGTTGCTGTAAGTTGCATGGACTTGATGGTAACTGGGGTTTTTGCTTGGATTTTTTTATAATAGATGTCATTCTTCCATGCAACCATAACTGACAACCCAACCACTGAGTTTTCTGTGTCTGTATGTTCCACACATCTAACTCCAGAAAACCCCTCACCAATTCGACGACTGCCTTGAAATCAGCATTTCAGTGGAGGACAGGACTTGCATGGGTGCACCATCCTGGCCCCTCATGAGGCCTCCTGCCAGTTTAAGCAAATCTGTGCTCTTCCTGTTTCCTATAGACCCAGCGCCCAGCCATGCCCGGAACGAGTCTCTGAAGACCAGCTGGGAACCACACTGACATTTTCCAGGAATAGTGATGAAAACTGATTACCTACTCATCATTGGTAAAAACATGCCCCAGTTTATTTTTCAGGATGCTCAACAGGGTGCCCACGACCAGGGAAATGCCAACTGGAAGAGACAATGGGAACATCCTTGACAATACCCAACCGGAAGAAGACCCCAGCTTAGATCAGATAAATCATTTCCAGAGTCTTTGGTCACAGGCCCTATCGCGTTAGTCACTCATTCAGATTGAGATACACACTGTTTTGCAGTCACTTCGGAAGGGCAACATGTAAAATGTCTTTACTCCAGGGGTTCTGAAGTCAAGTTCCAGTACTAGTATCATAAGCATCACCTGGTGACTTACTAGAAATGCCCATTTTCAGATCCATATCCAACCTACTGACTCAGAACTCTGATAGGTGAGACCCTCCAGGCGGTTCTGATGTAGATCGGTGCTTAAAACCATGGCTTTACGCAATAGTGTTTGTCTGAATCTGTCCATCACAGGGAGCAGAGCCACAGGGTTGGAGGACATAGGTTCACTCTGCTAGGTGGGACAAGCAGGTTCCCAGTTCCCAGGCAGAGTTGTGGAAAGACTGACAAGTGGAGGGTGAACCCTGGAGAGGAAGGACCTTCAAAGAGTTTTGGTCTGTTTTCAGTGAGTGGTGACCGTCCTCACTAAATGCCAAGAGTCCCAGCAGCATGGAAGGCGTGGAGAGGGGACAGGCAAGTGAGAGATACCCATACGGGGTTGCCTTCTGGGGCCTGGCTTCCAAGGCTGAGTGCCTGGAGAGGTACTGCTGCTCTGGGTTAAATGTACATTAGTTTTGGAGGGTAAGGCATTTGGCCCCCCGGGACCCCAGCATGCCAGACCCTCACTTGGGTCGGGCCCTTGACTCACCACCCACCTGTACACAACACTCCTGAGATGGCCGACCGCCTTGCTTGCTCAGTGTCTGCGGCTCCCAGAGCTGTCCCCACGCGGACACAGACCGCGATGCTGAGCCCCATGGGAATCTGGGTCAGACATATGAAGGTAGCTGTCAGCAGGGCCACCTTCCAGTTCCTGAGACGAGGTGGGATGCCGACTCAAGAAGAGACCAAGACAGGGAGACAGTGAAGCGGGCTGGATAGAGGAGGGGACATTTGTCACTGCAGATGGAAGGATAGTGAGGTCTGAGGTGGGAGGTGGCATGGGGGGGGGCACTCCAAGAGACCTACAGAATCATTCCCTTACCAATCCCATCCATCCATCCCACCAGTGACCTCATGGGAATGCTTGGAGCCAGCGTCCTGACAGAAGTCCACAAGGAAAGGAGTTTTAAAAGAGTGGACGTGATTTTATGTCTACCAGAAAAACTCAGGGCAAGAAAACAAAATTGCTTAAGGATTCAGGAGTCAGGCAGGTCCTGGGTGGCTGTGGGGTGGAGAGGGGTGTTGGAACTGTGGTAGGGATTTCGACCTCCTTTTGTTAGAAATCAGTAAGTCAAGCATTCAGATTCTTATGTGGAATCTCCCAGTTTGTAAAGGGATGCTAACCAATCGTTAACAACTCTACTGTCGTGTGTAAGCTCAGGGTTCAGTCAGCTAGGTCCTAGGTCTGATGGCAGCGGGGACCTTACCACAAGGCACCTCACAGCCCTCCGGAGAGGTCTCCAAAGGTCCCTCAGGACACAAGGGTGCCCTGTGCAGTGACAATCTACTCCTTGCCCACAACACCCCCTAGTGAGAGGCGGACCCCAAGGGGAGGGTTTGTGAAGTGCTTACCATGTATGTCACTGTGGACACCTCGTATATGATGGCCTGGGCAGAGAGGTCTAACACGCTGAGTAGGCCTGTTGGGACGAGGGGTGAGGGAGAGCAGAGGGGCATAACATTGAGCCATTAGTGGTGGCCGATGCGGGATCCAGGTCTCAGGTCACATGCCATCTGTTGCTCTACCTACTGGGGAGGATCCCTGAGACTCGGGACTGACACCATGCTTCTCTACTCTGGGGACAAAGAGGTTTCAGCCTGCTCAGGAAACCCTGGGCCAGCTGCTTTTATAGAGTATCACCTAGGCTACCCCTCTCGGGGACAGAGGTGTCTTTAAATAAGAGACGGACCAAGGTCAAGCTCTAGTCCTGCCATCAGTTTGCTGGGTAACTTTGGACAATTTCTCTCATTCTTGGGGCTCCATTTTCTTTTCTGTAAACAGGGCCACGGATTAGACGTCGGTTCTACGGGTTGTTCCAGGCCAGGATTTGTGAGTTTCATATCAGCTATGCTCATTTCTATGATAAACACATGAGGAGTGGCAGGTGAGGGCCGCAGACCCTCCGGCCTGATTCATTCCTTCCCTGGCTCCTTCATCCACTCAGCTGGCTCTCACAGAGACCAGCCTTATGCTGGGCCATGCTGGGGACCCCGAGTTCGAAGGTGGGAGGTACAAAAGGCACAGAGCTGCCGTGGAGGGAGTGGGGCTCCTAGCCCAGCAGAGTGATCCAGGGGAGCATCGGACAGATTCAGAGTTATACTCAGAAGTCTGCTGATTCCTCGTCTAGGGCAGGGGGCTTCTGGGCTGGGCAAGCTGTCGATACATGACACCCCAGCCTTCGCTCTTCCACGTACCCATGAGGAGGCTGCCGATCTCGTAGGCCCACCACTCGATGCACATCATGAACATGCTGGGGACAGCCAGAGAGAAGAAAGGACCCCACTCCTGCAGGCACTGGCTGGACCAGCCTAGGAACAGAAGCCTGAGAGATGAGCAGCGGTCACCCACAAAGAAGACACCCACCGCCACCCGGATTGGAGGCCCAGGAACTTGTCACTCTTCACAGAAGAAATGGGGGACGGATGGCCCTGGAGTTGGGGTTGGGGTGGAAGGAGGGGGATGCAGGCACAAGATAGAGGCGCTGAGCAGAAGCAGAGCCAGGTGATGGGGTGGCTCAGGACCAGGAAGGGACATTGGTGTCGATCCATGTCCTTCTTCACGACACCAAGGAGCCTCAGGCACTATCCTCCCCTCCCATCTGAAAATCTTGAGTGCTAGTCTTCGTCGTAGTTGTTGGAGGGTAACATGAGGTCAAGGAAGAAAAATGGACTTTCACAGCAGTGCAGGCTGGGAGAGGACTCCATGCCCCCAGCCAGGAGTCTTAGAGGAAAACCGTATTCAATAATCAGACCAACGTAATGCTCAGATCCCAAGACCTGGGATCCAACAGGCATGGGTTGAAGTCCATGACTTCATTCAGGGCCTCTGACATGTTGGACAAATGATTTATCCTCTCTGTGTCTGTTTCCTCAATGCAGAATGGGAAGAGTTAAATAAGGCAAGGAATGCCAAGCACGCCACATGCTGCTGAGACCTAGGATTCTGTCTGTATTATTTGTTGTTGTTAATGTGCCATGGAGTCGATTCCGACTCATAGCAACCCTGCACAGAGTTTCCAAGGCTGTAAATCTTTACGGGAGCAGAACGCCTCATCTTTCTCCCGCAGAACGGCTGGTAGTTTCGAACTGCTGACCTTGAGGTTTGCAGCCCAAGTCGTAACCACTACGCTACTAGAGCTCCTTGCCTGTATTATTACTAGGATCAAAACTGTAAAATGCTCACTGGGCCAGGTTTGTCTGGTGAATCCCCATCAGGACGCTCTACCATTGGGGCATCGGATGGGATAGGTCCTGGACCTTCAGGGATGTGTGTGCTGAGGGGTAGAACAAAGGGAAAGGAGGATGGAGACAAGGTCCTCCATCTGGAAAGTGTCATTGCCCACCTTCTACTCAAGTACGTTTGAGGAGGGCCCGTGCCAGCTACCTGCCCATGTTTCCAAGTGCAGCTTCTTGAGCACAATATAGAGGAAGAGGAAGATGGTCTGCAGGAACTGAGAGATGGTGTTGGCATAAGCAGAACCTCTGGAAAGCAAGCAAGACAGGCTGTGGCTGACGGCCAAACAACAGTCCCTGGCTCTCCTCCAAAACCCTCAGCAGTCTTCCTGTGTGGCGGGAGCGGCTTTCCTGATGACCACTAACATGGGGGCAGCAAGGAGGTACAGTCATGGCCTGGACAGGAGCCACATCCTTGGCGTCGACCCTGCCCATTAGCCTGGAGATCTTTGGACACATTAGCCGGGAGATCAGCGCCACCCAGGCAACAGTTCTACCTTCTCATGGGGAACACCCTGCAAGCCCCACACTTTTCAGTATCTCCTGGTGGACTAGTTCCAGAAGATGGTGCAATGGTCCCTCCCCCATATCTTTCATGGGGTGTGGTCCCTTAGCAGAAGTACCACAGGGTACCTGAGGACCAGCAGGCCCCCATCCCTTGGCCCTTCCCAACTTCAAGATAACACAGCAACCTCCAGCAAGACCTTGCTTTGGTGAAGCAGTGGCAGAGACTGCCTTCAGGCTGCAAGGTGAGGCCCAATGGGCAGTACTCCCTGAACAAGCCCTTCACCCCCACCCCCAGGCCCTGTGCCCATGGCAGGAGCTGCTCACCTGACCCCCAAATTCAGCACAGAAACTAGGGTGTAGTTGGCCAAGGCATTGACACAGTTCCCCACAATGCCGCTGAGGACTTCCGGCCAGATGATCCCCTGAAGTAAATGAAGTTGGGGTACATGTTATTTCTGTTCCTTCAATGCAAGGACTTCCAAACAAACGTGTGGGTAGGACTGACGAAATGTGACCAAGCCCAGATGTGTCAGCTTTGTAGCAGGCTGGGGACATGCTGCTTCTTGCTGGTCAGGACATGGGATAGCAGATTGAAAGTGACCTGGGACATTCTCTTTTGAGGCCCCGGCTCACAGAGGGTGGACAAAGGGGACGCATACAAGTGTCCATCCTGTCTCACTTAGTTGGAATCACGCAGGTGTCCCTTGGCAGCCCGAGGAGTGTGCTGTGTTGGGAGGGAGCCTCCCCTCCCGTCAGGGACCTGTACCTGGTTCTGCAAATATTTTGCCATCAGGCAGTAGAGAAAAATTGCCTATATAAAAAAGAAACAACAAAATCAACCAACAACAACAGATCACAGGCATTTTTTCCCCAGGCCATAGATACCCAAGTTTGGTGGCCGTCTGGGATCCAGCTCTGCAGGCAGAGCCCCGGGTTCTAAGAGGACAAGTGGGACTTCCCCCAGGGAGTGGGCACTCTTCTCAGTTTAGGAGGGTGATGAAAAGGGGAAGCGGACTGGGGATGCTCAGACAAGCGTCCACTGATGCCGAAGTCTCCAGGCCATGCTGGACACATACATGTTGCTTCTTGCTGGTCAGGACAGGGGGCTGCAGATTAGAAATGACCTGAAAGAAAGGCTTAGAGATCTCCTTCCAAAAAACTCAGCCACGGAAAAGCCCACAGAACACAGATCTACACTGACACACATGGGGTCCCATGAACCAGAGCCAACTTGACAGCAACTGATAATTATACACGCCCAGAGTTAAGATTGCCAAGTGCTTACACAACAGATCTTGGCACATTTAAGCATTCCAGGTGTTCCAAGCGTTAGGCAAGTATTATGTAAATATTATTGTTACTGTTGTTGTTAAGCTTTCAAGTCAGTTCCAGCTCATAGCGACTCTGTATAGGGCTTCTGAGAAACTGCTGATGGATTTTGAACCACCGACCTTGCAGGACCTTGTGATTAGCTCTATCAGTCATTGTAATTATTGTTAGTGGCAGTTCAATTTTGCAGCATCATTTTATGGAAGGACTTTGCTTTATTTCATAAGAGAGAAACTATGATGATATCTTTATGGGTGTTTCCCCCGATCCAGCTTCAGTGATCCTGTTTGACAAGATACCACCATGTTGGTCTGAAGAGTCGAGTATGACTTATAGGAAACCAGTTTTTCAGGTGATTAACATAAGATACTGAAGAAATCTGTAGCTGCCTGGGCCCTAAAGAGACCATTACATGTGGCTGGGGTATACTCAGCCAGGGCCTCAGCCCACTTCAGCTTCTCCTTGACACAGTCTCTTCTCAGTTCCATCCTCACACACTTCGCCTCTGCGGAGATGGAAGATGAACATGGGCCATCTATAATCAGCACCCCCAGAATCAGCCGACATCGTTACATTACAAAAAGTCAAATAGTGTAGCATGGATTCTGCCTGCCATCCAAGTCTCTGCATCAGACTCCAAAGCCCAGAAACTGACCCAAACATAGGATTTGTGTATTAGCTTAGCATTTAATACATTAATGGAGAAGGAACAGACTATTCAATCATCCGTGCAAGAAAAAAGTTTAAGTTTAAAATTTTTAAGTTTTAAAAGTATTGAAGTCTTAGCTGTAAAAATAGATACCATAAGAGTTCAAATAAATGAATAAAATATCGTTAAAAAAGAGTTCAAAGAAAATATAGACAAATAACTATATAATCTTCCAATGGGATAATTCTTTTCAAGCTCATCAGAGATAGATATCATAAAGAAAAGGACCTGTAGACCCAATTATATACACAATAAAAGTCTTTAAATAAAAAAACCTAAAGAAGTTAAAAAGCCAATGACAAACTGAAAAATATGGGTAGCATTTATGAAAAAGGGTTAAGGTGTATAGAACAAAGGATATAATTGCTGATGTCAGATGGATCTTGGCTGAAAGCAGAGATTAGATTACAAGAAAAGATGTTTACCTATGCTTTATTGACTATGCAGTGCCAATAAACCACAGGTAAATATTGTGTGGATCATGACAAGCTATGGACAACAATGAGGAGAATGAGTATTCCAGAACACTTAATTGTGCTCATGAGGAACCTGCACATAAACCAAGAGGCAGTTGTTCAAACAGAACAAGGGGACACTGAATGTTTTAAAAATTAAGAAAGGTGTGTGCCAGGGTTGTATTCTTTCACCATACTTATTCAGTCTGTGTGCTGAGCAAATAATCCGAAAAGCTGTGTTCTATGAAGAAAAACATGGCATCAGGAGTTGAGGAAGACTCATTAACAACCTGAGTTATGCAGGTGATACAACCTTGCTTGCTGGAAGCAAAGAGGACTTAAAATATCTACTGATGAAGATCAAATATGACAGCCATCAATATGAATTACACCTCAATGTAAAGAAAACAAAAATCCTCACAGCTGGGCCAATAAACAGCATCATGATAAATGGAGAAAAGATTGAAGTTATCAAAGACTTCATTTTGCTTGAATACACAACCAAGATGCATGGAAACAGCAGTAAAGAAATCAAAAGACATTTTGCATTAGGCAAATCTGCTGCACAAGACCTCTTTAAAATGTTTAAAAGCAAAGACGTCAGTTTGAGGACTAAGGTGCGCCTGACCCAAGCCATGGTATTTTCTATAACATCAAAAGCAAGTGAAAATTGGACAGTGACTAAGGAAGCTTGTAGAAGAATTGACGCGTTTGAGTTCTGGTGTTAGAAGAGAATATTAAAAGTGCCATAGACTGCCAAAAGAACAAACAAATCTATGTTGCAAGCAGCAAAGCCAGAGTGCTCCTGGGAAGCCAGGGTGGCCAAACTTTTTCTCTCATACTTTGGGCATAGTATCAGGAGGGACCAGTCCCTGGGGAAAGATATCATAGTGGAGGTTCAGAGAAAAAGAGGAAGACCACCAACGAGATGGATTGACACAGAGGCAGCGATGTAGTCAAATACAGCAATGATTGTGAAGTTGGCACTGGAGTGGGCAGTATTTCATTTTGTTGCACATAGGGTCACTATGAGTTGGTACTGACTTGATGGCACATAACAATGAAGATTGAATAAGCATAGTACAAGCACATAACCCTGGCATAAACCATTCCTCATTTTAAAAGACTCAGTGTCCCCTTGTTCTTTCCAACGCCTGCCTCTTGAGCATAATTAAGTGTTCTGGAATTCCTCACGAGTACAATTAAGTTCCTCATGAGTACAATTAAGTGTTCCGGAATTCCCATTCTTCCAAATGTTGTCCACAGTCTGTTACAATCCACATAGCTGAATACCTTTACATAGTCAATAAAACGCAAGTCAACATTCTTCTGTAGTCTCTGCTTTCAGCCAACATCCATCTGATGCCAGCAATGATACCCCTCATTCCATATCTTCTTCTGAATCCAGCTGGAATTTCTGGCAGCTTCCTGTTGATGGACTGCTACAATCATTTTTTAAATTATCTTCAACAAAGTTGTACTTGTATGTGATGTTAAAGATATTGTTCAACTATTTCCGCATTCTGTTCCTCTACATTCTAAAGTAAGTTTCAGAGTCTCTTCTGACATCCATTTTGGTCTTTTCTTTCTTTCCTGGATTTTTAATGACCTTTTGCTTTCTTTATGCCTGGTGTTCTCGATGTCATCCTTCAACTCTCTGGTTATTGGTCATTAGTGTGTAACAAATGCATCAAACATTTACTTGAGATGATTTCTAAATTCAGGTGGATTATACTCAAGGTCATATTTTAGTTCTCATGGACTTGTTTGCTTTTTCTTCAGCTTCAACCTGAACTTGCATATGAGCTATTGATGATCTCTTCCATACTCAGTCCCTGACCTTGCTTTGGCTGATGATATGGAATTTTTCCATCATCTCTTTTCATAGATGTAGTCAATTTGGTTCCTATCTATTCCATTGGTGAAGTCCATATGCAAGTCCATTGTCGAAAAAAAAAAAAAAGGTATTTGCAATAAGTAAGTTCTATTACGTAATCTCCAGCACATTTTCTAACTACAGAGCCTTCTTCTGTTTTTCCAACTTTCACAATCCAGTCACCAGAAATTATCAATGCATTTTGATATGCATGTTTGATCAATTTCAGATGAAAGAGGTTGGCAGATTTCTTCCGTTTCATCCTTATTGGCTTTTTAGTGGTTTGTGTGTCCATTTGAATAATAGTCTATTAACTGGTCTTCCTTGATGATTTTTTGGTTAAGTGCTATAGAGTCGGTTCTGACTCATAATGACTTTGTTTTGGGTTTCTGGGGCTGTAAATCTTCACAGGAGCAGAAATCCTCATCTTTCTCCCATGGAGCTGCTGGTGGGCTCGAACCATTGATCACATGGTTTGTGCCAGTGTTGATCCAACAGAACCCCCTTGTAGGTATATGGATATTATCCTATCACAGACAGCATTGACCTTCAAGGCAGATCTTAAAATGCTCTTTTGATGGTGACTGACATCATTTTGTCATTCCTGGCATGGTAAATCATATGATTGCCCATTTCAAAATGGCCAATCCCAGTCCATTTCAGAACCTAATGCCTAGGATATTGATATTTATATGTTCATTTCATTGTTGACGACTCCCAATTTTCCTTGATTCATTCTTTTTCCATGCTGTGTCCCAGTTATTAATGGAGGTTTGCAGCTGTTTCCTCATTTTGAGTTTTACCCCATCAGCAAATGCAGGTCCTGAAAGCTGTGCTCTCTCCTTGTCACTAAGGTCAACTCTACTTGAAGAAGCAGCTCTTCCTCAGGTGTATTCTGAGCGTCTTCCAACCTGAGGGGTTCATTGTCCCGTGGCAGACAATATTTCTCTGCTATTTATAATGTCCTCTGTGGCTAACCTTTCAGAAGTGCTCTGCCTCTCCTTCTTCCTAGTCTCTCTTAGTATGGGAGCTCAGCTGAAACCTGTCCACCAAGGGTGCCCCTACTAGTATTGAAAACACAGCTGGGCATCGCTTCCAGCATCACAGCACTGCACAAGCCACCGCAGTGTGGCAGAGTGACAGGCGGTTGTTTATAACAGTGATACTGAAAACAATGTAAACATCCAGCAACTGCACTGGACCGCAAAGTCAGTTTGAACTGCAAAGTTGGCAGTTCAGACTCACCAGCTGCTCCTTGGAAATGAGTCGCTATGAGTTGGAACCGACTCCACGGCACTTAACAACAACAACCAAATAATGATGATGCAACTATATGGCGTTATTGTTTGTTGCCACCTGACCCAACAACAACATTTGAAGTTCCTATTGCAGGATGTTATTTAATCATATCATGAAACTAATGACATATTTTATGTAGGAATAAACAGGCTAGAATACAAATAGACATAGTGAAGGTATTTCACATGAGTAGTGTATATGCATGTATTTGACCATACACATCCATGAACAGAAAGAATCCTGGAGAGACATATCACCACATGTTCTCTGGGAGTGTTAGGATTGTCAACAATCCATTGCCATGCAGTCCATTCTGACTCACGGTGACCCCGGGTGTTACATTATAGATTTGCTCCACAGGGTTTTCTTGACTGTAATCTTTATGGAAGAAGCGAGCCCTTTCTCCCACGGAGGTGCTGGGTAACTTTAAACCATCAGCCTGTGGGTAATCAGCCAAGTGCAGAACTTCTGCACAATCCAAGGACCTTGGTCGGATTACAGATGATTTGAAAATTTTCATCCCCACACTTTCCAAATTTTCTCTAATACACAGTTTTCTCATCGGAAGAGCGGCTGTATTATTTGTTTTAAATCTGATTTGCAGTGACTGGAATCATAGGCTGGAATCCTAAACTCCTATTCTACCAATTCCATCTTTCCTGTGGTTGAGATGTGCTTCATGTATAGGGTACAAAGGCCATAAATCAGACGATGTTATTGTTGTTAAGTGTCTTTGAGTCCGTTCATTGCCACCCCGTATAGGGTTTCTGAGGAGCAGCTGGTGGATTTGAACCACCAACGTTGCAGTTAGAAGTCCAGTGCTTATCCTATAGCACCACACGAGGAAGTTAGATGAGGATAATCCCAGCCTCCTCCTGGCTCAGCAGAACAAAAAGCCCAGAGATAAGGGGACACTTACGGGAAGTGCTGGGATGAAAATAGTCACGTAGTCCTGGGTTAATCTGCCAGAGAAGGAGAAGCAGCAAGCTGACTGAGGTGACCCAGGGCAGGCAGGGCCTTCTCAGCACTGACCTTCCTGAGTGAGGACCCCAGGGGCACCCGTGCTTGGAAAAAGCTTTCATCAGTCCTTCCTGAACTCAGCCACCGCATGTGAAACCTCAGCAGTCAGGGGCTGACGCCACCAGGTGCTAGAAGGGGACCAGAGTGCACCTGGGCTTTCTACATGTCGTTTGCAAGAAACCAAAAGTTACAGCCTATCAAGAAATAACCAAGAGAAGTGTATACAACGTCAAATGAATAAGGAGGCATCCCAACAAGCTGTTTTCAGGCTTTCACATTTAATAATAGCCCTGGTGTGGTGCTGCAAGATAATGCGCTGGACTGCAAGGTCAGTTTGAACCGCAAGGTTGGTGGTTGAAACTGCCAACTGCTTCTAGGAAACCCCATACAGGGTCGCTATGGGTCAGAAGCAACTAGAAGGCACTTAACAACAACAACAATTTGTAAATCATATGACATGGCCTCAGTTCTCTTTTCCTAGGGTGAACACGTCATTGCTTTAAAAAGTGTTTATGAAACTGTCAGGTTGTTGTAGTTGGTTATGGTTCATAATGACCCTATGTAGGGTTTCTAAGGAGCAGCTGGTGGGTTTGAACTGCCGACCTGTGATTCGCAGCCTAGTGATGTGGCTACAACGCGGCACCAAGAATTCAAGACACAAATGCAAATCCCTAGGTATTTCTCTCCGTTTGTCACTCATCTGCTCCCTGCTGGTCACAACTGGCACAGCATGCCATAGCATCCCTATAGATGCTGTGCACTTGGGACCATTATGTTGCCTGGAAGAGTGGGGGCCTGGGAGGCGGGGTGCCACGTTTCCCTGGATCTCCCGCAGTCCCAGAATCCTGGGATTCCAGCAGGAGCGAGCTTACCTGGACACGGCCCGGTCCTGCCGGAGGAGCAGCAAGAGCTGTTCAGTGTTCAGGAAGAGCGCCCAGCAGGGGAAGCAGGAGAGAAGCAAGATGAGCGTGCCTCTCTGCAGGATGACGCCCACGTTCGTCTTGTTGTGGCTGCCAAAGCTCTGCAAAACCAGGTGGAGTCAGCGCTGCTTATCTCCACTCGCTAAGGGGGGTGGGGGGAGCACCGAAAATCCTGGCCCTGCCTGCCACTGGTCCAGGGGCTGGAGGGGAAGTTGTTCCAGGTGTGTGACAGCCTAGCACCAGGTGGGTATTGTTAGTTGTGGTCTTGTGGACTCTGACTAGTGACAACCACATGTGTGCCGATTAAAACTGCTCCACAGGGGTTTCAAGGCTGTGACCTTTCACAAGCCGATGGAAAGGCCTGTCTTCCAAGGTGCCTCTGAGTGGGTTTGAACACTTAAACTTTTATGTCACCCAAGCTCCATTTTCCCAAAGTGCACCTCCAATTACAGCCCACGAGATCGCCTGCTCATGGAATTATGGTTGTAGTTGTTAAGGGCCATCAGCCGGTTCCGACTCATAGCAACCCTGCGTATGGTTTCCAAGGAGCAGCTGATGAGTTTGAACTGTCGACCTTGCAGATCAAACTGACCATGTGGTCAGTGCTTATCCTACAACCATATGAGGGGCTGTTTACACGTCTGACTCGGGTTCCATTGCAGCCCATTTATCTCATGCACAGCCTCAGCCATCTCTCAGTGAAGGTTTGGGTATTACAACGATGCTGAGCAGAGTTCAGCAGAACATACAGACAAAAATGGACGAGGATAAAGGTTTAACCATCTACTTCTAAAAATCAGCCAGTGAGCAGATCACAATGGTCTGATCCTTAGCTGATCACAGAGATGGTGCAAGACCCAGAAACTTTCATTATGTTGCGTATGATTCGCCATAAGTCGGGCAGGTAACAAACCTAGTCCCATGTCCTTTCACTTCTCACCCACTGTTCTTCAGTAGTGCATGGTGAAGATGGTGTTCTTCATTCCAAAGCTAAGGTCCATAACAAGCCAGGAGCTACATCCCGGCAATACTGCCCTGGTGTCGGGGACCATGGACCCTGAGGGCCAAGGAAGTGACCTCCTGACATACTGGGTTCACATGGACCCTGAGGGCCAAGGAAGTGACCTCCTGATGTCCCAGGTTCACATGGACCTGAAGTGTCCTCCTGACTTTTTTTTTTTTTTTTGATCAACACCACAGTTTATTTGTAAACATGTTTATGTATCAATAGTCAAATTGACAGCACTTTCATACACTTCATTGTATAATATTAATATCATACCAGAAACAATTCACTGTACTCACTTACAGTTTGATGCTTTAAAAATCTTTAAATATAAACTGTGTTTCTGAAACACTGAACATAAAACAGAAACATAGTGGCAGAGAAAATGAAAAACATTATTAGAAACCAACATGCTGGTGAACTTGAACCACCGATCTTGCAGTTCATAAGGCTCTGTAGTGTGCCATCTCAACCCTCAGAGCCATGCCAGGACTGACAAAAGCAGCCTTCCCATTAGAAGAGCCGTCAGAGGAAACAGTTAAACCTCCATCAAGAGGTTTAGCACTGTAGGCAGAGAGAAAAATGACTTTTTGAGTCTTTAAAAATTGTAACAAAAGATTTTTTGGCAAGTGAAACAAAATTATGTAGGTTTCTAATAATGTTTTTCATTTTCTCTGCCACTATGTTTCTGTTTTATGTTCAGTGTTTCAGAAACATAGTTTGTATTTAAAGATTTTTAAAGTATCAAACTGTAAGTGAGTACAGTGAATTGTTTCTGGTATGATATTAATATTATACAATGAAGTGTATGAAAGTGCTGTCAATTTGACTATTGATACATAAACATGTTTACAAATAAACTGTGGTGTTAAAAAAAAAAAAATGTCAGGAGGACACTTCCTTGGCCCTCAGGGTCCATGTGAACCCAGTATGTCAGGAGGTCACTTCCTTGGCCCTCAGGGTCCACGGTCCCCGACACTCTGGGAACCCACTTTGTGGCCCACAGCAGCCTGAATACCCCCCTCTGGGACACAGGCAGGAAGGCCCCTTCCTGTGCCCTCAGTGCCTGTCACCTGACACATCTAAACATCTTGCTGGCATGGGGGGGGCAGTCAGTGGAGGGGTGAGAGGAAGTGAGTGGACCATGTTAAGGTTCCTTTTTTCTCTCTTTGGTGATCTCTACTGGGACATCAAGCCAAAGACTACTGCTATGTCTTTGTTCTTCATGGTTCCTCGCAACAACTTGCCAATGCTATCTCTGCTTTGATCTTTGATGGAGATGGGCAGCTGTCCCCAGGGTCTGTCTGCAGGACTATGACTCAAGGTCCAGTGGGAGACAAAGAAACCTTCAATGGTCCTACTGTTCTTGCAGCATTTATAGGAATCGCTCTTGCGTTGCCCAGCCACCTGCCCACTTTAGGGATCTCTCCTACCTGGGACATCAAGGTGTCACATGCCGAGGCCAAGCCGAATCCCACGGAAACTCCACAAACATTGACAAACTGGAGTCGCTCACAGGAGAAAACACGAGAATGTGTCAGGTTCAAAGTTAGGAGAGGACCTTGTGTCTGGAGTGACATCAGGGTGATTGGGCCAGAAATGGGGCCAAGACCTTCGTTCTGGCTGTCCTATCTGGCTGTGCCTTGGCCCAAACTCTCCCCACCTCTAACCCTGGGGCCCCATCTGTGGACTGCATCAGTCAAATCAGATGGTCCAAGTCACCTGCCCACCCCACCCCACCCCACCAATCAGTATTAGGCTTTCCTTGGGACTGCCAAGTACTCACAGCCACTGCAAGGGTCACCGATGCCAACTCCACCTTGCCCAGGTGCCCGCAGAATACCGAACTCACCACATAGATCAGGAAGGTCAGCACCTGGAACAGGAACTGAGAACAGCCCCACGTGTAGGCATTCCCACTGCCCAGATCGGCCTCTTGGCCCAGGAAACACCCCAGGCACCCTCAGCGCTCACAGCCCAAAGCCCCTCCTTGAAGCTTGTTGTGTCGTGTGCCGTTGAGTTGGTTTCAACTCATAGGGTTCCTGAAGCTGTAAATCTCTAGAGCAGAAAGTCGGTTAACCCTGCAGTTAACTGCCCAACTCGTAAACCTCTACACCATTAGAGCTCCTCAAGACTGGTGGACAAGAATCATCCCACCTCTGCCTTGTACCAGCAGGTCTCTCCGAGGGACCCTCATTTAGAAACCCACCACAAACACTATCACCCACTGGGCAAACTCCCTTTACAGAATCAGACCTGAACCTTTCACAGTGTGATCCAGGCTTGCAAGGAGACAGGGCTGGAAGCAAGGAGATCTGGATCCTGCTCGCATCCCACCACCAGCCACCAGCAGCAGTGGGACCCCGGACTTCTGTTTCTCCCCTAAAACTGTGGTAGCCCATGGGAAGCACTTTGCACTGTGCTTGTTACACACAAGCTTGCCACAAATATTGTATCCAGCTCCTGGTATGGTGCTGTAGGATCAACACTGGACTATGAACCATAATGTTGGCAGTTAGAACCCGCTAGCTGCTCCTCAGAACCCCTATATGGGTCGCTATGAGTTGGAACCAACTTGACAACAGTTAACAATTGCTGTTAGGATTATAGTAACATGGGAGATTTTGATCAGGTCCTATTAATAAAGAGTGAAATTAAATATAAACAACAGTTATTTCCAGGTGGTTAAATTAGAGATGGAGTTTTTTCTTCCTATTGACTTTTTTTTTTTTTAATGTTTTATTGTGAATTATGTGATAGTTTATATGGCAGAACATTAGCTTTACATTCATCCTGTCGTATATCATTTCACTGCCATGGTTACAATACCCTCCATGCATCATCAACCAACCAAAAGGTATATCCCGCAAGCCTGCCCACCCCCCACACAGCCCCTCTCCCTCTCTGGGTCTAAAGTCCCCACCCACTCCATCTCTCCACATCATCATCTCTGCCTCCATCTCTGGCATCACTGCTTCTCAGGGTAGGGTCCCACTCTCTACTCTTCTCCCTTGATGGTCCCAGGGACCTCTGCTCCTAGACTGAAAAGTTAATCACTCCCCTCTTTGCTACAAAACATCGACCTTTACATTTCCAACCCTCACAATCAGTCCTGGTAACAATCATTCACTATTGTATCACAAGAGACCTGTCTACATCTGCTTTCATCAGCCCCGCCCAGACAGATTGGATACTAATCAGTGGAGATTCTGCCTTCCTCTGCACCCTCTGGATCTAGGCTCCCTCTTGAAAGCTTGTAAGCCAGTCATTTCTTGCCTTTGTAGCACCCCCATTTTGTGTAGCCAATGTCCAAGTTGGCCATCCCTGTCTACCCTGTGTATGGAGGGGGTGGCAATGATCCTCGCTGTAAAAATTTGTTCCTTCTTTTGAGCTACTACATCCATAGGTGTAGGTCAAGTTTATCAAATTGTATCAGGTTACTCTTTTTTTTCCTCTTCTTTCTTCTTCTAGTTGAGCTCTGATCATCCAGTCATTGAAGCCAGGTCAAGTGGGTATTATCTGCAAGTGTGGGTGTTCTTATGCATATGCCCTCTATTCTTATCAGCTGGATGCTTCACTTTCCACTCTAGTCCTCTGTGGCTATGTCACTGTGGCTATGTCACAGAGTCCCCAGGTCTTGCCACACTGCTGGCCAACCGGGTCTCCAGCTGGGTTCACAGGAGTCTATTGAGCGTTGTAGGTCTTAACTCGCAACTTCATTGCTGTTTTTCCTTCACTTCCCCTTATCAGTGATGAACATGGTCACCAATCAGAGCATGTATTCCCACTGAGTCTGAGTCTTGGAAGGGGGTTTTCCCTGAGGGAATCTTCCTATTGACTTTTGATATTGTCTGAAGTTTTTAGAGATATTTATTTATTACCCCTATAACCCTGTACAGGGTCGCTATGGGTCAGAACCGACTCAATGGCACTTAACAACAACAACATGATCAGAAATGGAGTCTTAGTATGGCGCTGTAGAATAAGCATTGGACTACAAGGTCAGTTTGAACCTCAAGGTCAGCAGTTCAAACTCACCATCCTTTCCTTGGAAATCCCATACCGGGCAGCTATGACTCAACAGCACTTAACAACAATACCAACAACAAGATGAGAAATATAAGACTTTTTTAACTTGGAACTAGGAAGGGTAGAAGATTCATCCTCTCCTGTCGGAGAGGCCCAGAGTCTCAGTCCTCTTACAATCTTTTATATGAGCTTTGCTATGACTTCTCAGTCCAATCTGAGAGGGGTTGGGCACATCTGGCCCCCTGCCACCCAGGCACTGTCCCTGGCTTTGAGGGGCCAACCCACTGTCACCAGCTCGGGGTGTGGTGCAGATTGGACGGTGTCTTGGGGGAATGGTGTGAGCAGTCCCTGAGATATTCCTGTGTCCTATCTGGACATCACCCTCCTGCCCCTTCAACCCAAATGGCCCCCCAACCCCGCCTCCTCACCAAGGGTCCAGCAAGGACAAAGAGCTTCCGTGCCTCCACTCCAAAGCCCACGGGGAACAACCTGAGGAGGGCAGGGCAGTAGCGCCAACGGACTGGAGCCCCCGTGTCCTGGAAGCTGTCCATCCCAAGTGGGGCTTGGTCACCCTGTGGGCCAGAGCTCTCTCCCAGACAGCTTTGCCCGACTAGCTAAGGTGCCCCTGACCACCACCCCGTGTCACCTTACAGCCTGGCTAATGAGTAAAAGATGGGGGTGGGGAGACGGTGAGGGAGACAAGTGGGCAGCCATGGCAACCTGTGGAACATCCTGCCTCCTCGTGGCTCTGCTAACATTCCCACAGCCCCAGCCAGAGTGAGACTGCCCCGAGGGGGCACAGGATAGAGTCACTCCATCCGGTGCCTGGTTGTGACTCCATCCGTCACCCAGACAGGAGGCCCTCAGGAGGAGGAGAAGGGCTTGAGCTGGTTTCCCCTGGCAGTGAGGAGGGATACTAGGGCCTCAGGTGGAGAATGCTGGGGAATGCCCTGCCTCCCAACTCCATCATAACGTCCATTAGAGATTAAGGGCTGAAACCCCAGGGAGGTGGGCAGCTTGCCAGGGTCACAGAACAGACAGAGACTCCATACCCTTGCCTGTGAGGGAGCGAGGGACAAATGGTCATGCTGGTTGTAGCATTGTTGTTGTTGTTAAGTGCCGTCGAGTCGGATCCGACCCATAGCGACCCTATACAGGGTTTCCGAGGAGTGACTGGTGAACTTGAACCACCAACCTTGCAGTTCAATCGGCTTTGCAGTCTGGCGCATTAACCCACAGCGTGCCTTGGAGTTTACATTTATGTATAAGGAGCTGTGGTTTAATTTCCTGCTGAGTGGGGCTGGGATTGAGGATAGGCACTGAGTTACTTGGAAGGATTTTCCTTGCCTTTAGTCTCAGGGAGTCCTGGAGTCTCACACACACCCTCCCCCCTCCTATTTTTTTTTTTTTTTTTTTAGTTTTTATGTGAATTGAATGATAGTTTACATGAGGGAGCATCAGTTTTACACTCATCATTTCATTGCAATGATTACAATCTCCTCTGTGCATCATCATTCAACAGTATTTGCTCCTATTCCCTCTGGGGGTTTTGTTGTTGTTTGGGGGGGTGGGGTGTACACAAAAACACTCAGGAATATATAATCATTTAAAAAACAAAGGACACATTCTGCAAGCCTGCCCCTGGCCACCAACACCTGGCTGCCAGCACACAGCCTCTCTCTTTCCATGAGTCCAGAGTCCTCAGCTGCTCTCTCTCTCTCCATGCCTTCATTTCTGTCTCCATCTCTGGTGTCACTGCTTCTCTGGATAAGGTCATGCATTTTGCTTGTGTTCTTTTCCCTCGATGGGCCTAGGGTTCTCTGTTTACAAGATTAACTACTCCCCAGTTTTTGTTACAAAACTTCTACCTTTACAATTGTGACAGTCACTATTAGTCATGATAACAACCCCATCTCCTTTCAGCAGATCCATCTAGACAAGATGAAAACTATTCAGTGGGAATTCTACCTTCCCCCACACACTCTTAAACTAAACTCCGTCTTGAAAACTTGTAAGCCAGTCACTTTGTGCCTTTATAGCCCCCACTTTAGGCAGCCAATGTATAAGTTGCCTGTTCCTATCAACCCTGTGTACAGAGGGGATATGTTTGATCCTTGATATGAAGACTCTTTCCCTCTCAGTATTTTGAGCTACTACATCCATAAGAATAGGTCAAGTGCATCAAATTGTAGCAATTTACACTTGTTTCCTTTATCTTTTATCTTCCTCTAGTCGAGTTCTGATCATCAAGTCATTGAATGATCACTAAATGCAAGTTGAATGAGCACTAAGTACAAGTTTGGGTGTTCTTGTGTGTCTCCCCTCACTTCACACCAGCTGGGAGCTTTGCTCTCAACTCCAGCCTACTGTGGCTATGTCCTTGTCCATGGGCTCAGGAATTCACAGGTCTCACCACACTTCAGACTAGCCAACCCCTCTTCTTCTCTCTCTCATCTCCAGGTCGACAGCAGTTTATGGACATGGTCAAACTCATCCCAGATCGTCATTGCTGCCTTTCCCCCACTTCCACTCCCCAGGAGACCAACATGGTCACCAGCAAGCTCACATGCCTGCTCATGTGTTCCCTTTGAGTTTCAGTCTTGGAGGGGGATTTATCCTGAAGGGATTTGATTGCTTGCCTTGATGGCTCCCCAGCGAACAACTTGCCTGTTCTTGTAGTAGCTCATGGCCCCTTTTGCACATGGCTGAGGCATGACTTGGCATGCCTGAAACGGCTCTCCCCTGTTCTCCATTTTGCCCATTGAGGCTGTCATTTGGTGTCCCAGTAAGCTCCTCTGTCGTTCAGGTTTCTCTCTCTCTCTTCTTCATCTGTGACCCCCTGACAGATGGCAGGGCAGTGAGGCTATGAGAGACTTAGACTGCTGCCCAACTTTGCTCCAGTCTGGATCCGAGTTCAGGGTGTGTGTTCAGCCGAGGAGAGGTGAGTAAGAGGAGCTATGAGGAGCAACTGCCGTCCCTTGTGCTTTTAGCTCAAGTGTGTAGCATTCAGGATTCCAATATTGACCGTTCTCAGAGCCATGTGGAGTGAGAGATCAGCTGTTCCTCAAAGGAAAGGATTCAGGACAAGCACAAACAAGAGATACCCACTACATTCCACCCCTTGACTACCTAGCACAAGCACACCCTTCCCCCACATGTGCAAACAGCCTTCTTTCCATACAAAGAATTCCCAAATGCTCTCACCTCACCTATGCAGTTATTTCACATCCAACTTTAGACACATTTGCCTTTTGTTCAGTAGGGGAAGAAGTGAAAGACGCAATCAGCCTCCACTAGATACGGTGTCTTATCTGAGTACGGTATCTTCCTGCTGTTCTGTTGAGTTCTTGTGATAGTATACAATGCAGAAAAACAGAACATTTAATTATTCAAAATTGAAAATCGCAGATTTATCTAATACTAACTGTGATCGTTAACGTTTTGTGTCAACTTGACTGGGCCAGGATTCTCAGTGGTTTGGCAAGTAAGACATGGTGTGGTGCTGAGGATAAGCACTGGACTGCTAACTGCAAGGCTGGTGGGTCACGGTTAGGGCTTCCTAGATTGTAAATCTTTGTAGGAACAGAAAGCTGCATCTTTCTCCCATGGAAGAGCTGGTCATTTTGAACTATTGACCTTGAGATCAGCAGCCTGACCCGTAACCACGATGCTACCAGACGCTCCTTCCCAGTATACATGGACACTGAAAAAGCTGGCTTGCTTCTTGCTGGGTCTGGAGCCTACATCTGGCTCATCATCGGACTTCCAGTTCATGGACTTGAGCCAGCGGCCTGCCATATTGCCTGCTGATTCTGGAAGTCTTCAGAAGCCTTCCATCTGGCCTGCTGACCTTGGATTCAGTCGCCTCTGAGGCCAGAAGCCTACTGTCTGACAGACAGCTTTGTGAATCAGGAAAAGCCTCCAGCTGGACATCTGACCCACAGATGTGGAACTTGCCTATCTCTAAAGTTCTGTGAGCCATTTCCTTGATATAAACTTCTCTCTCTCTCTCTTTCATATACACGTTGTTTTTAAATGTCATCAAGTTAGTTACAACTCAGAACTCTGTACAGGGCTTCTAAGAAGTGGTTGGTGTGTTTGAACCACCACCCTTGGGATTAGCAGTCCAGTGCTTATCTTACAGCTTTACTGGTTTTATTTCTGTAAAGAACCCAGCCTAAGACACCAGCAAAGAGAAAAGAGAAGAAAGTGTATTACCATTGCAATTATTATTATTATTATTATTATTATTATAATTTGAGGACGAAAAGGAGGAAGTGCAGGTCAAAAAAGAGGAAGTACAGACCAAAAGCTATAATATTCTAATTACAAAACCATTGCTAGTATTTGTATTCCATTCTTCCAATACATTTTCCATATTCTTCTGATCTTCATCCAGTCCTTACCTGGTTAGACATTCTCTTTCTAAATGGTGACTAAAAACCTTTTTATAGAAAACCAGCTGTGTTGTGTAAACCTGACTGTTCATAGATGATGGGACACTTGGCAAGAGCAGTGACCCCTTTAACAGTGGCTCCCACAGTCAGAAGCAATGTTGTGGGATCTCATGACAACAGAAGAGACCTTCAGTAATCCAGGCATGGTGGATTACTCTAAGTCTAGTGTTTATTTTATTTTATTTTATTTTATTTTATTGAGGGAAAACTCTCTCTCCCTCCAAGATGGGAGGAATACAGTCCAAGTAACCTGCCACATCATTCAAGACAGATTATCATTCTGGGTTAAGATTTACCAGAGCTGCTGACAAGTGGGGTTCAGCAGGGGCACTACACAGGTCGGCTCATCTTCCTTGGTGAAGTCCTTGGTTGAGCGTCTTCAAATTCATTCTTAGAAGTATTCCCTCAGGATTCTTATGATAGAAACAACCTGTTCGTACATTTTCTTCTGGGCGAAACCATTCTCTTCCACATTCTGTTTAGTGTGACAATCCCCAACCTAGGTGAATCAGCTCCTGCAGAGGAAGGGGGAATTGAATTGGTCCCTTTCCACTGTAAGGCAGTGACTACTCTCTCCAGCAAATGTGGCACAATGGTGACTATTCTTTTGAGGTTTGGGGGTTTGGGGATCTCCAAGTATCCCAAATTCTCCCAAACATTGACTTTCCAATTATGTCTCTAGTAATTTTCAGTACATGTCCCACTTCTAGAGTGATTGCATATCTAGCGGGGCATCTGCAAGCTTCAGACTCAGTCTCTGGGTTGGGTATCTGGGGATTCAGCCATGAGGAAACAGTTGTGTTTTTTCGGCACAGCGGCACACCGGCCCTGAGTATTATCCTGTGGCTGGATGAGAACTTTGACATTTTAGCCATTGCTTTTTCTTCCAGTTATTCAATTCTGTCTGAAGCAGCTTTGCCCCTACTCCTCTTTCCCCCCTCTACCACCTGCCCAGTCTTGCTCCGTGGGTGACCTTAGACATCATACCTGAGAGATTACTCTCAGTACAGGGCTACTAGCCCCCTAGAATGTGAAGGAAGACTCATGACTTTTCAGATGATAACATTTCCCAAGTTCTCCCACTTCCCTGAAGGGCTGCGGCCTACAACTCACTCTATTGTGCCAATTTGTGGGTCAGTTGTGGTTCATTGATGGAAACCACAGAAATGACTTGGGATGATGTCAGATGATAAAGGGACGGGTGGGAGCCAGGGATGGAGGAAAGAAGAAGGAAGAGAGGGAAGAAGGATGAAGGCTTAACAGCAGGTGATCTAGAAGAGACCTAAGCAGTAGCCTCAAGAAGGACAAAATCAGGACAACTCTGAACTATTGGGGTTTTAAGGGAGAGTACATCAGATGACTCAACCCCAAAGACCTTTAGTCACAGACACAAATTCCTGAAAGACTGAAACAAATGTCAACTTGTGATGGGCAGGAAAGAGTAGGGAGGCCTTTCCTCTGCTTGGTGTCACCGGAGGCTTGCCTGAGCTTAGACAGTCTTGACAACTCACTTGTGACTGGCAGTTGGTGATGGCCCTCATCTGGGAGCTGAAGTCACTGGCTACATGTTTTAATGTCCTTTTACATGATCATCTGTGCAACTTGGGCTTCCCACATCAGCTGTGGCTGAAAGGGAACATCTCAAAAGCCAAAGGGAGTCCCATCAGTCTTAAGACCCAGTCCTGTTGACTAGCCTGTGGTACTTCTACTAGGCTTGCCCAGACTTAAAGGGCTAGGGGGAAAAAAATCAACTTCACTTCCTCATGGATAGGTGACAGAAACCTCGCAGCCTCAAATTTACCACCCACAAATCTCCCTTCTTTCTATTTTTGTTCACTTCATGTTCTCCTCTTTCGTCTCTTCACTCCTGTCTCCTCTCTCCCGTCCCCTTACGCCCACCCCATGGATATGTCCTAAGAGACGGCAGAGCAGACAGGACTCCTGAGCTCAATGGTGAGGGACAGTTATGGGTTTGGGGAAAACTTCTTGTTGGACATTGGCTCCTCAGTGAGCCCTTGGTCCACAGAGCTCTCTGTTCATGAGGAGAAGTATTTTTCTCTCCTGTAAACACACCTCCCTTTAATCTCTACTTCTTCCTACTTCCTTCTTACCTGAGGTAGTGAACAGAGATTCAGGGTCACTTCATTTCTCTTCTCATTTTCCATTTTCTGCTGCTTCTCCAAGTGGTCTTGGGCCTGCCTCTCCCTGGTCCTCACAGGGAAGAAGAGCCCAAAGCTACAGGATCCTGGGAATGGTAGGATGTAGGGGTGAGGTAGAAAGGGGATGGAGTGGCATTGAAAGTGCTCAAAACACACACCTGGGTTCAAGGTGGTTTCCTGACCAAATGACAGTGGGTGGCCAGTCCCCTGACTCTCCACCGCTTCACTGCCCTGACAAGGCCTGTGGTTGTGCCATAAGTTCTCAGGGTGCCTCTTCCTATCTGAGGATTTAGCTGTTGCAGGAAGAAGGATGTGTATTTAAATATATGTATGAATCGGGCTGTGAACCGGAAGGTCAGCAGTTCGAAACTACCAGCTGCTCCGCGGGAGAAAGATGAGGCGATCTGCTCCCGTAAAGATTTACAGCCTCGGAAACCCTATTCAGGGTCGCTATGGGTCGAAACCGACTCGACGGCACTTAACAACAAACAACAACAATAGATACAACCAGGACTCCTGGTGTGGCGCTGTGGGTTAATGCACCAGACTGCAAAGCCATTTGAACTGCAAGGCTGGTGGTTCAAGCTCACCAGCTACTCCTCGGAAACCCTATACAGGGTCGCAATGGGTCAGAACCGACTAGACGGCACTTCACAATAACATAGATACAATGGACTCAACAGAACTGACTCAACATTGTTGTTGTGAAGTGCTGTCTAGTCAGTTCCGACTCATAGTGACCCTGTATAGGATTTCCAAGAAGCAGCTGGTGGGTTTGAACTGCCGACCTTGTGGTTTGCAGTCCAGTGCTGATCCTACAGCGCCACACCAGGAGTCCAAAATATATAACTGGGCCAGAAGCCACTGATCAGAAGTAACCTAGTCAAACTGGTGGCCTGGCACCCCTTGGCCACCCTGCTATGTGAAAGCTTGCCTAGAGTGGAGAGTTGCCTACAGGCCTCAGGAAGGTACATCATGTTAGGGAAGCACTTGCCCTTGGGCTCACCCACAGGGGACTGATTAATCCGATCCTGTGAGGTACAGCCTATGGTCAGGGCCTCTGTTAACCTTTCCTTGCTTGTTTATACTTCAATAGGCCTGAAGGCATTGGATTTGCTCTTAGCTGTGCACCCCCAGTGCAGTAGCGAATGCCCTCTCGCTCACTCCCTGATATCAAAGGCCTCCTCAGCCCTCGTGATGGCAAAACACCAAGTTCTCCACAGCGGAGGCTAAGGACTCTGGCCTCCCTGCCCTCAGCCTCCCATCCACCTTCAGGGCAAAGGTTAACTGGGAGAACTAACCTGTCTGATCTCTGCCCCCAGGGTTTCTGTTGAGCCGTGACCAACATCTGAAAATGGCTTAAACCAAAACCATGTGTCATGGAGGCAACGCTCAATCATGGTGACGCCATGCGTGTCAGAGTAGAGCTGGGCTCCGCTGGGTTGTTTAAACACTATGTTATTGTGTTTAAAGTGGAAGTTTACATAAGAAGTTAGGATTCTGTTTAACATTTCTCCATAAATCGTGCGGTGATAATTGGTTACATTTACGTCATCTTTCTCATTATTGCATTGGGGTTGTACAATTTACAAGTCTCTAGTTTCACGATCCTCTTATCTTCTCATCTTGACTTTCAGAGTAATTTTTCACGATTTGAATTCATGCAGGTGGTTTTTTAAAGGGACTTTAAGTACTCATGAGCCAATCTGTTGTTTAGCTAAAGCCGACATCAAGGAATCATTTCAGTTCAAGGTTTAAAGAGTATTTCAGGGCAGTACTCTCAGGGAGTCCTTTACACTCAACCAGAATTTGAGTTCTGTTCAGGAGACTGAGTTCTGGTCTTGTTGTTGTTAAGGGCCGATGAGCCGGTTCCGACCCGTAGTTACCCTGGAGAGGGTCTCCAAGTTCTACATTTAAAAAAATTTTCTATTAGGATCTATCTACTGTAGCTCTGAATCCAAATGGTTGGTAGTGGTGGCCAGACTAGTCTTTATGGTCTCAGCATAGATTAATGCTATAGACTTTCTTCTCAGAGTCTTTGGTTTCCTTGTTTCCTTTTGTTCCAGATGAATAGAAACCAGTAGTTGTGTCTTAGATGGTGTTGGGGCTTAGGCCCAAAAGGGAAAAGCTTTCTGTGTAAACAGCTGCTGTTTGTGATCTGAGAGACATGAGTTTATTACAG